GGGGGGAACTCGGGCCAAGGAGGCCCTTAAATGACTTTTCAAAACCAAGTTTTCCTCTTTCAATTTGACCAATTAGGTCTGCACTGCAAGGTGAAAAGGAGTAACCGAGGTGAGTCTTTATATATACAGTAACTGTATAAATATATACAAAATAGGTTTTGCTCGCGGAAGCAGAGGATACGTTCTTCTTCTGCTTTTAGTGTCACCGCGACGAAGAGATCCAAGGCTTTGATCTTGAAGTACCCAGCGAAGACAGGACGCTTGGCACGGAAGCGTGTTGCGGACATTAGTGGATCAGCAGCCGACTTCTTCTGAATCATTTTGGGAGGGTGCGGAACATAGTCTTGCCCACAGTTGCTCAGCCTGCTTTTACTGGAATTATACAATAATTAGGTTTACCATGTTACAATGGGGTTGGAAAAAGCTGACAGTTCAAAGCCCGTCACCACTACCACAAGGTTGGTTGCAGGTGGGAGCAATATTTACCACTGTGGACAAGGTATGCGATTCTACAATACAGCAATAACTGCATGATTGACATTTACAGACTAAACCAAACACCCAAGTTGTGAACTTCAAACACTTGCTCCACCGTGCTCAAGCGAAGTTCTGGCCTGTTTGATCCGGTCGAAACTCACCAGAATTAAACACCAGTTCTGGCTTATTTGTCGGGCGCCCGAGGCGGACCGGAGCAGCAGGACTTCATCCCTGTCTTGGCCGAGCACTCCTTGGCGGACATCGCTCGGGTGGTCAGTGCTGACCTGGCCGAGCGCTTGGCGGTGCCCTGGTGTGTTTGTTTTTGTTCCTTCTTTTTGCGAAAAAGCGTCATAAGTGAAGCACAGGGAAACAGGTTGGTGAGTTTGCTTGGAATAGTATGGAATAGTAGGCCGGCCTCGTGGACTGTTGGCTATGGATGGTTATTCAGAAATCCGGAGGTTGGTCAGGATCGGCCAGGATTGTCATAATGACTTGTTTCTTTTTTCATGGGGACATTGGATGTTCCCCAAACAATGCTAGCTGCTAGCTGCTGGCTAACCAATGGTAGTCCCGATCAGAGAAATCACATATGAAGTTAAGTCATGCCATGAATGTGAGTATGTGATTATTGATGACAAGAAGACTCTGGGACAACTGGAAGGGTAGCCGCTTCATGAAATGGTGTTTGCAGGCGTGCAAGTGCATGTTCTGTGTGTGTGATTTTAGACAAAGAACCTATTATTGGTCAAGGAACGTTTACAAGTTTACAAAGGCTGGTGGTCAGTGGTTCCTGCAGGGATTTCTGCCTGAGCATGGTCTCTCCACATGCAACTTTTCCTGCTCCGCGTCTATATAACTACAAGTTGTTTCTGGGTTGTTTCCAATTTCACTCATTGTTTCCCCGAAGCAGACGTCGAAGCCAGCAAGTGATTGAGTTAATGCATGGCTTGAAAACAGCCAGTGAATTTACGGTTCTGTTGCCTTTCGTGTGTAATTGTTCACATATCAAAATATTTATATACTGTACGTATAGTATATATATATAATTGGCTTTTTCCAGGTACTTGTGCCGGATCCATTACAAATATCAGGGGTCATACTTCCACACTTGCCAAGGATGGCAGCGAGTCAATCAGCGATTTCATGAAGAGGTCCAGCCAGGAGACTTTTGCTGCTCTACCGGTGAAACAAAGATGTAATGCTTTTTCCATTACACATCATGGTAGCAGTGAAACGAAGACTAAGTGGCAAAAAAAACACTTTGCTAAGTGGGTGGCACTCAAGATACAACATGGTATTTCTCATAGGCCTGGCTGATGCTGAGCAAGCTTGGATTCGCATGGCTTTTTCAAAACTGTACGACTCCTTTGTGTGGCTGATATTCTTTATAATATGCAGTACATAAAACACAATTTAGCGGTTGAGATTTTCTTGATAAGATTGGCTTGGTGTTTTCGCGTCTGGAACCGAACGGCTGGAGCCCAAATGCTCCTGGTTGTGGGTTTGCAGGAAGTGCCCGAGCATCAGTGGATTTTTTTGCACATCCCACATAGAGCTACAGAATGTTGATAGCTCGGAATTGTGACTATCATACTATGGAATGAATCTGAGTTGGACCAACCATGACAGATCAAAGCACTGCGAGGACCTCTCGAGCTTCTTCTCGCCGAATCGTGGCAACGAGTACATCTCCTTAGATGGAGAGGCACGCATTGAATGTCGACTTGGGCTACTCCACTCGCTGTCGAGTGAGGCTGACATAATCAGACACAGGCGGCAGTTGTGTGTCCCGTTTGTCAAGTCGCAAGAGCATCAGCCGAGGCTTCACTGCTTGAAACTGCTTGCCGATTCATTGATTCAACACATTTTGTTCATTGATTCATTCCCCCCACACGTTTCGTTGGGAGATTGATTCCCCACACGTGAAGAGGAGCCGATGAGCCCTGACAAGAAGAAGCTGATCGAGGAATGTCCTCCCGACTTTGCTTAGCTGCTAAGCTCAGCTTCTCGGATCTGACAGACGCAGTGCTTCTCGTTTGTTGTCGAAACATAAGTTTTTTTGGTTTGGTGCACTGAACCAATTCCACCTGCGGAAGTGACCGTAAGTGGAATAACATTAAGCTCACTTGTGCAAAATTGCAAATACTTGCAAGCGCTTCCAGGCAGCCATGATACATACAGTAACCATGACAAATCAGCGGTGTTCAGTTGCTTGCTTTCGCGCAAGGAATGGGCGACGGATTTCTGTAGGTGGGCCCACTCAGAGCAGTGCTTGCAAGTTGCTGCAGGCAACCTTTGGGTGGTTGGGCTTCGCCCAACTGACAGATAGATCATTTTTGCCGACATTCGCAGCAATGTTGGCTGCTGGCTTCCTTTTTTTTCCTCGCCAGCTGTATGACTGCAGGCTTGACAAGAGTTCTCAACTGCGCTTATGACATTTGGGTAGAATTTCAGTCAGAGGGCTCTACATGGTAGCAACTCTCTTCAAGCCTCACTGCTGTGATGTCAGCCTCACTGCTTGTTATCTTGGGCCGCCAAATTTGAGCGTGAAACATCGTTAAACTGTGTAAACTCACGGAGACGTACACCTGAAAGCAGTGAAAGCCCTGATGGCCCTCATGGCCCCTCCTGCTTCATTTGGAGTGAGACATCTCCAGGTTGACAGGAACTCTCAAGAAACTAGACATTTCAAGTAGAGTGAACATGTGGAGCCTTTGGCTGTTGCGCGTCTTCCAAAGAAGGGCCTTCAGCTGGTCTGTTTGGATGTGGTCTCCAAGAATGTTGGCTTCAAGCAGACTCCTTTGACCATCCAAGACCATCCAAGCAGACTCCTTCGTTCTGAATCGCTCCTGATCGAGGAGAAAGTGAGCTGCTTTGTGTGGATGGACTTTGCTTGGCAGTCAACTAGCACCAGGAACTGACGTCGTCGCTTCAAGTCGCTTCACTGATGTGATCCATGCTGGACACGTGGATGATAGTGGATGGGTTTTTACATGTGAATCCCGCATAGCGGTGCCTCGTTCACGCTTGACCATGCTGATCCCCCGACAGCACAGCTTCACATACCGAAGATGTTGAAGCGGAGGTTGACGATCAACAAATCGGGCAGTGCGTCAACAGTTATGGGCTTTTGGTCCGTAAGTTTGGACCGAACAGATGGACAAGAAGAAGGGTTTTGATGGTTTGGGTGGGTCATTTATTGGCTCAATTGGCAACTTCTTGGGATATTTCCAGACACCAGATCCATTTCTGAGGCAACATATTTGACAGATTTTGAAAAATTCCAGGGAACCAAAGCTGCCGACGAGGCGGCCAAAAAGTATAGAAAACTTCACCAGTTTGAGTTCGACCAACTGTGTGCAACCATTCAGGTTTATCACAAAGCTGAAATTCAGGCTCAAACAGTTTAGTTTTGTATCAATACTTGCTTCAGCCAAACAGATTTTATTTTTCTCACTGTTTCTGACTATCACTTTCCGTGCCCGTTCCTAATATATGGGAGCAAGGGGGCAGTTAAGCGGCATGACGTTGTCCGCAAGTCATACGGGGTGGGTCGTTTCCAACGTTGTCCTTCTGCACAGGTCTTTGCCCTGGAGACGGGGCTGACGGTGAGCGATCGGCCCACATGGTGGTCACAGGACTTGATCATCGCGTCGGGGGGACCATGGCTGATTGAAAGGTCACGCCCAAAGGTCAAGACTAGTTCATTTTCTGCAGCATTTGGTCCTCACAAAAGCCACTCAATGTATTTAGATTTAGAAGATTTTAGATGTATTTATATCGTGTCCTTGGCCATTTTGACCGAGGCTGTGATTGGTAGTAGCATGCTACATGAGACATTCAGACGCACATGCAAGCGTCGAGTGTTCAAGCATCGCTTCGTCAGGAAAGAACAGCAGGCCCCCTTTTGAGATCTTTTGAGGGACAACCAGATTGTTGATGTGCTTTTGAGCGACTACCATTCTACAGTCTACCGTCATTCTGGAGGTGCATGTGAGTGGAAGGTCAGATGCCGCTTCCGCCAGGATGGACTCTATTTCATTTACTTTGCGCAGGAGTACCAGCATTGGAAGGCTACACAACTTGCGGATAAATCATCTCGGATATGCCAGAAGTTTTCATGTCCCAGACGTCCCCTTCCGAAAATGCGGACACAGGCAGCACAGACACTCGAACGCCCAGCCACACCAACTCGAGAAGAACAGCCGACGGGTCCAAGAGCCAAAGGAGTGGAAGGTTTGACAAGTCATGTGGGTTAGGCCTTATCAAATGCAATCAATTCAGTTGGAATTCATGATAGTATACAACAATCAGACGCAAATGATCGGATGCAACAAAGCACACTTCTTTTCAGCGCAAGTTCTGCTCAGGTGAACGGCCTTCGAAGTGTGGGCGGTGACGGCCGGATGGGAAGAGGGCAAGGGTGGCCACCAATGAGGGCCCTGAGGCGTACCAAGTAGCGTTGATGACCTCCTCAATGCGTACCTCATGCTTTATGAATTGCTACCGTGATGGTCAAAGAACATCAAAGAATAGGTTGCAGTCCTATAGACGGACTGATTGGGGTCACTGATGGTCAGCGAAAAGGCCAGAGTCGCCAGAGGTGCAAAGCACTTTGGACTTCAAGACTCCAAGCAATACATTCGTGGAGTTTCCAAAGACCTGCTTGTGTTTTCACAGACAGGCCACGTACAAAGGGTATATATACATAATTTATCATATTCATATTATGTAGTTATATAAGTTTATGTTGTATTTATGAGTTAAAGCATTTTACAAATTAAGCAGTTCTCTTTTTGCACTTCAGGGTTGGTCTCGGCTTCCTGTGGAGTTTGGCCCAAAAGGCCTTTTGTTTTTCCTGCTACTCTTTGGCGCAGGGATCTCTTCCGTGCGTCCCGGCGGGCGCCGAGCTGGGTGCGGCTTTGCACACTCGGGGGAAGCGAAGGCGGGCTTCAACACCGGGGTGGGTCCTTCTTCAGTTGGTGCATGTTGGAATGTTGGACCGCAGTGTGCGATTCAAAAGCCATGAAAAAGTGATATGAAAACCGTTAAATGTATTTGGCAAATTAAATGTTATACGATATTTGTTTTGCTGCACAGATCTTTATGTTTGTTTCTGAACAGTTTTCATTTTAGTGTTCTTTGGTGGCGTTATGCATCTCCCATGACGGTCTCTTCCCAGGGCCACAACGAAGTCGGAGCGCTTTTGGAGCCTCAAGGCTGGTTTGAGGCGCAGGAAATCTGTCGGAAGAGAGAGGCTGTTTTGGCTTGATTTTTGGAAAGGAAGGGAGCCCTATGGAATCCACCGTCACCAAAAGTTGTGGAACGGGATGGAACAGGTAGAAGCAGCAACAGCAAGATTATCAAGCAGTGACAGAGTCACTTGCTGGATTTCCGTGAGGTTTGTACGCTGATTGAGATGCTCGGTCGTTCGTGACCCAGGCGGACGATGATGAGTGGGTTGGCGTGACGCTGTCACTGACGTTTCAACCTCAGCCCTTGTGATACAGGAAAGGTTGGAGGCCATTGCTACTAGGTCGGAGGCTATCGCTAGTAGGTTGGAGGCCATCGCTAGTAGGTTGGGGGCCGTTGCTATCAGGTTGGAGGATTTAGGGTTTAGGGTAATATCATGGAAGCTTGGAAGCCAATGGACGCCTGATCTCTGGGATCATGACCCTGTAGAGTCGACCTGATTGAGCCATTCCGCATCATTCGGCCTTTTGGACCTTCACCTTCGCACTGGGTGAAAACGACAAAGTTCAGGCAGTGGTTGAAATTACATGAAATTATCCAGTTGATTGATATGGAGGGCGAGTTCCTGTTGAAGGACAAGGCTGACAATTGATTGAAGAGATGGTCATGAGCATTGTGGTTATTTATGACCAATATAGCTGCGCGGGCGTCCCAGTTCGGTCCAATTGAAAGCGCATAATCGTGTCATGATCCCAATGGCACAGGAACAATCATAAACATTGAAGTTTTCAGCCCGGATTTTGAACTTCTTCCAAAAAAGGATGTACATTTTTCTCCATACCTTTGCAATTGGTTCCAGGCTTTTACTTCAGGGCCTCTACTCACACTGAGCCAGTGGAGAAAGTGGCATCATTGGCCCATGGGGGCCCACGGTATGCTGATTCCCAGGACCAGAAGGGCATCATCCCTTCGGTTCATTGCTGAGATTGCACGCACACAGGAGCCGTGAATGAAGACTTACTTGCTTAGAGCTTGTTGGGCAAAAGTGGGTCTTGAACATGTGGGGTGCCAACAACAAGCTGAAGGAAACTGTTGACCTATGTCACTCTGCTTCTGACAACTGTATTCCGAACTTGATTTACCATGAAGCAAGCATCTAATGTCAGGAAAACGCACACTTGGAGTTGTAGACCGATGGACATTGCTTGGTTGTTGGTCAGATTGTGGGACTTCAAATCTTTCACAATTTACTGATTGTAATTTACGGTGTTTTTGACACAAGTGTTTCTCGAAAACCATTCCTGCCAACACCTCCAAAAACACAATTCTTAAATGTATTTTACAGTGTTCAAGCGCGCAAAGCGCTTTCCGTAATCACCCAAAAACCCCTTGACGCTTTGGGATTTGTCCTGCCAAGATCGGGTCTTTTTTTCGGCCTTTCGCATGCGGGGGTTTCAAATCCGTTGCGCACCCATGGATTCTGTCATGCCTAAATCGGGCCAGTAAAACAAGACATGAAACGCAGCGTTGTTTTAATAACAGGTAGTGCGTTTATTCCCTTTTTGGTGAATTCGTCCAGGTTCCCACAAGCCTCCAGAAATCACCACTGCTCAAGCGCAAGTTTGGTCGTCTTAGCCAACCTATACTGTATATTTATATAAGTTTGCAGATTACTTTGTAATGTATGACAGGTGTTTGCAAGTTGACTCAAGGACTGGAATAAAGGATCAATCCATTGTCCTGTTATGTAATTCTGCAAATATCTCCTACTGTACATCACTAGACTGATCTCTTGTGCAAATCCTTTTGCAACAGGAGAGTGCCAAGGTCAATGAGACTTCAACTACAGAGCCCGGAACCTGTGATAGGAGCTCATTTGACATCCAGCTGTATGGGTAGAGTGAAACATGGAATCATGGAATCTTGAAATTCATGATCTGATAAATGGAGTAGTATGCTGCCAAAGTCTACGAGTCTTCGCTGACAGCTGAACCAGGAGAGAATTCATTCGTTGCATCGCTGTTGAATTTCGTGCTTCAGGCATGCGTTGGGCCGTTGTATGTTTTGTGGCCTGCGGTTTGAGCAGGTGGGGGAAGTTTGGACAATTGCTTGACGAGCTTGAGCATATTGGTATGTGGATGCCCCCTTCAAAGTGCCAGTATTTCTTGTCACGAGCCAGCAGCTCTAGAGCGTAACACACATGGTCATGACCCATGAAGGCAATCCTGGTTTTTGTGCCTCCAAAGCCTGGCAGCGAGGAGTTTTGATGTGCCTTGTTAGTTGGTTGGCCAATCTTTACATTTGTTGCAGAAGCATTCCTTTAATCATCCTCCTGAAGTGCAGGAAGACACTGGTTTGATTGCAGATTGGAGCGCAGTCAACACCTTACAACTGTTTTATGATGCAAGTTATGCATATAAGAGACTCATGCACTTTCAGCATCAACTCGTGTGGGTGAGGAACTGCGATCTTGGAGGTATCACTTTTAGCATCTTCCATGCACTTGTTCTTTTCAATCGCTGATATTGTAGCGCTGAGTGCCATCACAAGAATGATGCGGGCACTTATACTGTTTTTCGCACAGGCTTTATAAACTTGACAATTCTGCGTGTAGGCCGTTCAGATCAGATCGACGGAACAGCTTTTAGGCTTAGCTTAGATTCAGGTCGGTAGTATGAGGGGTGGAAAGCGTTCCTTTCCTTGCCAAGGCTGAAAGCTTTGAGCTCGGTGACATGGACGACAAACTGCTCAAAGAAACAGGCATGGGTCTCGGCCTGAAGTGCATAATGTGTTGACAAAGGACGTCTCATATTCTCAAATCACAATGCTGCTTGGAAAGGATACAGAAGGAAGTTAATAACCACTAGAATTGTTCAGAGTCCCAAATTAAGGATCCCACAGATCCTTCCTGTTTCGTGTCTCCTGGACAACATTATTTGTACTAACATTTGCTCATGTCACGGCCTCAACGATCAGCTGCAGGCGAGCCTGACGTTATTCAGCTGAAGCCGCGCAGAAGCATGTCCAAACTGTGACATTCACTTTGTCCAAAAAAAATAAATAACACAAACACATGCTTGTGTGTTCATGTAGCTTTTGAGAGGGTTGTCACCTCAAGCGATCCGTGCAGCAAACGATTCGGGTAGGACATAAGTAAAGGGATTGTCCAATGCACGTTTCCAACAGAAGAAAGGGTGCTTCAAGAGGGCAAGGGAGGATCATGTTTTCTTTTCACCTAGTACGCGTTCACGAGGGAGACTGAACTGGACACTAATAACAATGCCAACTATACAAACGATACTTTTTCACCAACAAACATGGTGGACAAGGGACATCCCAAAGCCGGATTCAACCAGTGAATCTCACGTCTGATTGCAATGCCGAGCAATGTTTTCAACTGGCTGAAGCCAATGTTTTGCTTCATGTTTTTTTCCAAGTGTGTTTGTACCTTCTTCACACTCAGCCACAGCCAGTCTCCGGAAATTGCATCAGAATGGAGGTTAGCAGACAAGGCTTTCCTTGTCGAATGCTTGACAATTTTCTGACCTGGCCTTGTCAGGGTTTTGGCAGACATTCTGCTCGCAGGTTTTCCTCGCAAGTGGCACAAGTCCGTTGAAATGAAAGCGCGAGAAACGGAGCACACACAGGTTGGCACCACAACAGCACTTTAGTACAGTCCGCATCCAGCAGGTGAAGGGGTTGTTGAGAGCCATAAAGAAGTGCAGTCAGTCGTCCGTGATTTGGTTCGGTTCGTGGCAATTATTGAAGTCTCATTCCGGATCTTCTGCGCCGCAGTCTGGTGCTTCTGCAAAGATGAGAAAGGAACCCATATGGGAATTGGACATAATTGGACAAATATTGACAAGAAAAGCATGTTTTGAGCAAATGGATGATGCCACCGGATTGAACCATGGTTGGCATACGCAGCAAAATTGTTTGAAGCTGCAAAGCAGGTGCAAAGTCACGCTGATAGGAAAGCAACTCAATCGTCGAATTGATGTGAATTCATTTCATGTATTTTCCGTCAGCCCCACCATATCGGCCATGGCATTGGTGCCAACTGAAGCTGCAGAAGTGGAGGCAGCATGGAACGCCAAACCAGACTTGCTGTAGTTCGGTCCGCATGTTTGTCCCGTTCGACCCCTTTTCAGCTGTTCCAGCATGTTTTCAGGTTGCTGCGCCAAAGCGAAGTCAGGTGCCAGAGCGAAGAGGGCGGGACTTTGGATTTCAAAGCAGGCCAAGCACAGCCTTCATTCGCCGATGCTGAGGGTGCTAGCTTTGTCTTCAAGGAAGCACCAGAACGGCACTGGAACACCACTTTTGTTTTGTGCTTACAAAAAAGGTTGAGAATTCAACAAGCAAATCCATGGTCAGTACTAGTATAACATGGGCGCCCAGGAAAAAGAATCAAGATACCCCAAGAGAAAGATGAGAACAATGCCATCAAGGGGCCAACAATGTAGTTACCACCCACGACGTGTTTCTGAGGGCAACCTGGCGTTGGATTAGTCATCCAGTCTAAGGGAAGATGAGGCCTTCGCACCAACCGCTGTGGCAAGGTTGAGGTGCAGCGCCAGCAACTCCGGCGCCGTGTAGATGGCGCGGCTCGGATGCCCAGCGGATCTTAGGCAGTGAAGCCCATGAGAGTTTTGGGGCAACGGATATGTTTGATCCACACTCATTGACAGATCCTTAAATCAAACATCTAAAAGCCACAGATGTCAGGTACCTATCGAAACTAAGCAATCGTGCATGGAAATGGTCAAGTTAGTCCCAAAGTTGGGCCCAGTTTGTTCAACATGACTGCAACTCCAGAACTGGTCTTGTGCACCGGAAAACTTGGACACCGCATGATTTGCTGAATGTGCATAATATGAGATGCACAAGCACACCACCTTAAAGGGGAAAGTCCTGCCCACCTCATGGAAGGCATTGTGAAGTGTCCATTCTCCTCTTAAGAGGTGGACACGCAGCTAATCACCATGCAATTCTAAGGACCCACCTCGCATCAACAGTTTTTTTGGTTGCAATAGATCTTCTCATCAACAAAAACAGAAGGCCCCGTCAGTGCTAGCTCTTTTGGGTATGTAGTCTAGCCACACATGCTGTCTCGAGAGAAACACTTCAGCACTTCCAGATTTAATGGATTGAAACTTGACTTCTCAGGTGAAGACCATGATGGAAGGTTATATAGCCACAGTGGACGCCTCCAAGGCCAGAATCTGACAAGATTGCTGTTTGTTGGGCTCTTGCTGAGAATTTTGCTGAGTACCCTTATTTCGGTCGGAACATATATGACCCCTGATTTTTGACGTCATTTTTGACTTCAATCTCGGAGATTTCGGCCAGTGTGCGGGAAGGAAAGCATGCCTACAAGGCAGGTACATCCAGGCATCAAGTGAACACAATGCTCGCATTGAAAATCGAGGTTGGAGGGGAGAACGATCGAGCTGTGAACAGCTACGCGCAGTGCTGCTACAACGCTGTCAGAAGACTTAGAATTCGACTGCAGCTGTGCCTTCTCCATCCTTCTGCCTTCTGTTCCAGCCCCATGTCACTCCCACCCGTCTCATGGTCCGTTTGAGGCCATGGCACGTGCATCCGAAGAGCTGGTGAAATTGGCCTGGTGGCCTCGTGTGTTGACATGTTTGTGGAACTGGGAGTGTGGACGGATTATTAGCGAATTAGCCTTGGGACCATTGAAGGAACAAGAGCAGCAGGATGGTACAATACTGTCATGAAATATTTGATGTTGTATAATACTGTACAGTACATTACGAAAGCCAGCCGATAGGCTAGGCTTGAGCTTTTAGAGCGAACGAAATGAGTTAAGGGGGTGTGGGGGGGGTGGTCGGTGAGAGGGAGAGGGTGAACCCGGAGCTTGGTGGGGGAGAGCGCTCAGACGGTACTTCCCCTTCGCTAACGCTGATGTCGCCTTCCAACTTCCATAAGTTGCATACCTTCCTGCGTGTGACAAACACATGCCACGCCTTGTGATGATGACCTACACCAACATACAACGTATCGCACTTCTCTTTCACTACTTATTTCATACCAAACTTATCCCAAAGCCGCCAGGCTTGCTTCTCTGCTCCCTCCATCAGAATGACATACGCCCCCCCGCATCCGCGGCACCGCTGACTTGCAAGCTGCTTTCATTATGTATATGTGCTGACCCCAAAGATCTACCTGTGGATGTTTTTATTTTTTCAAGACGTGTGCAAAGAAAAACACCTAGGCATACTATATAATACATTGTATGTGTAAACAAATTGTGATAAATACATAAAGCTATATGACTCGGTCGAAGTTTAGTAACTTTGTGAGAAAGGAACAAAATTTCTATGGCAAGTCGCTTAACGATACATGATTGGTAAGAGTGAAAACTCGAACCCAGGGGCGATGTAGAGTGAGCGGGGGGAATCCACTCGTTTGCCGCGGAGCACTCCCCCCGCTTAGGCCGGCGAGCTCAGTGTTGCCGCTGCAGCTTCAGCAAAACGCCGCCCCTTGCATGCAAACATCTTGGACCTGTTAGCATTGGATAGGATTTGTCTCGTCCGCAGAGGGTACCCAGGTTTGAAAGAGATTTCAACGAACTGCCGAGCACAGCCAAAGATCATTTTGTGCATTTGCATATGAGTGCTTCAGGAATGAGTAGGTTTAAACTTGAACATGGCCAAGTGGAAGTAGTACAAAGGGCTGCTTCATTTGATTGGTCAGTTTGAGCATGTTCATTCAAAATATAACGGAAACTACATGAGGAAAGGCATACACATGTTGCTTCGTAGTAGTGAGTGAAGCCGTAACATTCCCATGTCTTGTCATATTCAGCTATAAGCCCAGGTATAGGAGGATTGCAAGAGGAGCAGCTAAAGCTGGAGGAGAAGGTCTGGGTGTCTTTGAATACTACTTGGATCGACTCTACTTTGCCAAGCTCCAAGGGTCACGGTGCCTCTTAAGCTATCACTTTGCTTCAATGGATGGGTAGCTCTTGGGACATACCATGGCATGGATGCCCTCCGTCTTCAGTGTTTAAGTTAAGATGGCTGTGTTAGTTTGAACAATGTTCAATCTATTGAGTTTCTCAGGCTGGCTGATTCCTGACCAATCTGTTCAAGTCTGCCAATTCCAGATCAATAATTCCGTTTGATGCCTGATACCAATGCCCGGGGAATTATGTTTGTGGAAGCTGCTTTGATTGGATGGAATACGTCGAACTTACTTCCTTGTCCTTGACACGGATTCGGCTGGAGCTCTTGGTGGTGACAGGTCCAGAGCCTGCAAGACAACTCCAGGCCGCCGCACGGCCTTCCGGCAGTGTAGAAGCGCCCAGAAGGGCACACTGAAGAGGAAGGAACCTCAATGACCAATTTCCCCAAACTGCTCAAACTTGGATATTTGTTGGAGTAAGTGGTTCCCCCCTGGGTGGCATGATTTGGCCTTGGAGAGATTGAAATGGCACAGCCATGAACAACATAAATATATATATATATAACATAGTTATATAACTGATTGAATCATGTACGCATATATATATATATAGATATACATGTTCTATCTATGTGTTTGCCACCTCACTTGCGCAAGCGTCAGACAGAAGAACTATGAAGCATTGATATTCGGACAGTGGAAATGCTCCCTGCTGAAGGATACCGTGGCTTTTGTCGCCGAAGGTGCTTCAGTGGGAGACCTCTAGCAGATGCAGAAAGTTGCTTTTGATAGTGTATTAGTGGCTCAGGGATTCGTATATACATTCGCAGACGTGCAGCGTTACGCAGCGTTACCTCTACAATAAGGACACTGGTGATCTGCTTTAGAAGCTTCACTTTTTTCAAGAAGATTGCAGAGTGTTGGATTCCATTGGACAAATGACATGATTGTGTACCTCATCAAACTGGTCGGAATATCCAGAACAAAAGGTGGTTCCTTCCAAAGCTTCGAATTTATCAAACATGCAAAGGTCATACAGTAGATTCGTAGATGAAATCTTCTTTGACATGTTTCGACTGATTCGATGATTTGCTGTTGAATCTATTGAATATGGTCCACTAAGAAACGCGAGCCAGCTCAGCGTTTCTCATGTTCCCTGTTGTCTCAATCTTGTGTTCGATCAGCCACTTTTTGGCCCAACCGTCCCCCAGTGCGGGGGCCATGGAAGAGCGGGAGGGCACCGGCCCCGCGCTCTCGCTGGTGCATCGGCACGTCTTCGGTCTAAAGCCACTCGGACGAACTTGTGCTTCTCCCTGTTGGTGGGTTTTTCAAAAAGGCATTCCTTTTTTTCGACGGCAACACGTGTGGCGTATTTATATATGTCTTCAAATGTTTGATATGAGTGAGATCAGGCTCGTGCCGTTGGGCGGCTCCTTTCTTTTTCATGTTATCAGATATAATGTTGTTACATTGATCTGGATTTGGGTCCTCAACGAGGCCGGATGTAAAGAACAATGTCCACTATGCTGAGGAGACACTGGGACAGACGCGAGCCACGGATGGTAGGGTCCAATGAATTGAACCTGAAGATGGATTTGATGCGTGGTTTCACTCGCAGACATACACTATACCATACTTTTTCACAAGCTCATGGGCTTCCTCTAGTTACTAGTCTAGCCCAGCATAATATGTCTATTTTATGTATAAATGCCAATGCTAAAACCGCACAGATTTAACGATTTGGCTGTGACTCATTTCCATGGGCAGAACGTGGAACTTCATGAAGTACCCATGTCCTTTTGATTGATGTATAGCATTTGCCAAAAGAAATGGAGCCAACACCCATTTGCAATAGTCCTGTTGGCTTCTTACTGTGGCTGAACCCTACCAGCACCTCCCACTGTCACCCATCACTACTGGATGTGCTTCACATCGTTAATCTCAATATATGTATATGCATCAGTATCTTGGTTTCTCCATGCAAGCCAGCATCGCATCAAGCTTCCCAGGCTGGTTGCTCCGAGCTTCCACGGTTTTCGCAACGGCGATGTCGTTTGTTTTGTATCCTCAGCCTCAGATCCCTCCCCCACAAGTTCTCAGGCATCACATTCACAACTCACAACCAGAAGACAAACACCAACTCTTTTGGAAGATGCGAACCTGCATGGTTCGCCAGGAGACACAGATCATCTATCCTGCTGGGACCAATGCGATCCTTTGGCAGGCGGATCAGAAGCAACAGAAGATCTTCCAAGGAGTCTTGGCCAGGTATGTGACACTCCCAGCAGCGACACTCATAGAGAAATACTCCGGCAGGCATTTGGGTTCTCAAGTTGTTTACCTTGGAGCCAATTTTATCAGGCAGTCATCAAGCTGGTAGAGATAGCTGCTCGCAAACTCCCATAGGTGCCCTAGAAGGTAAGTTTACATTGTGTGCACGACGTCATTCATCATGGCTGGAAACTGATTTGCTCCATTGTGCCGAGGACATGAAGATGGGCAGAGTCTTACCTGCATGGCAGTAAATAGTGCCTTGGTCATGCATTTGGCATCAACTATATAAACGGATGCTCACCAAACCTCCAGGTCTGGAAAAACACATATACACACACGCACGCACGCACGCCCACCAACGCCCGCCCGCGCGCCCGCACGCATGCACGCAGAGTGGAGATGTTGTGGAACTGCCACTGTCTGTGGGATTTTGTGGTTGTCACTCCACTGAGGTACTAAAAGATATTTGGCTGTCGCTGAGAAGTGCTACGAGGGGGGCAATCTGCACTATTTTCGACCTGGTCACGGCTAAGATGCATGTCTGAACAAGGGCTACAAAGAGTGACGAAGCACCAGAGAGCAGTCTTTGTTTCGACATGTTTCGACTATGTCTTGTCTGGCTTCAATCTTTGTCCATCAGGGATGAGAATGTTCCGGAGTGTCATCCGCGTGCACATCCTCTGGATGAACAAGTCTCCACTAAGTGTGTACCTTCTTGTCCATGGCAACTTGCAGTAATGATGTACCATAATTAAAAACATAATCGTTCTTTTCAGCACGATTGGATGCAGTGCTTGTTTGGTCTCAAGCTGTCAATGATATTGAGAACGGATAACCTTTGCAGTCTTTGTAGGAGTTTTGTCCAATCGCACCCTCCTCAAAAGGTAATGTTTGGTTGATGAGCGGATCTTCTTCGTAACCACCGTGAGATTTGGTTTGCGTGCAGCATGTTTGTTATATAGAAATTGATTTCTGGAATGAAAAGGAACCCATATTATTCTCAAATTTATCCAGCCGGAGGGCCAGAACACTTACTAAATTGCTCAAATTCAGACATTTTGCTGCTAAAAGTTTCCTGGCTTTGGCAGATCAAGGATGAAGGTGTGAAGGTCCGCAAAACTTCTCCATGGGGGCGATCGCTATTAGGTTGGAGGCCATCGTTATAGTAGGTTGGAGGACGTCGCGATTAGAAGCAAATAAACAGAAAAGGAAGAAATAATCTAATACAGTTTGCTAGAAGTTGGAAACTTCTCCATCAGGACAAAGGTCTCCTCGGTCCTCTCGTTGCCTGCCAACGACCACACGTGCCGACACCCTCAGGAAGCGGAAGACGCTCTCATGGCCTGAGTCGGATGCGCCGGAGTTCCTGTGTGTGGCCTTCTCGGCTGATAGCAAACTCGGATTTGCAGAAATCATGCTTTTACTTATGACTTTCTAGCTGACTGACATGGAACATGCGAATCCGCCCTATTGATTGACGTTATTTTCTATTTCTTTCTGTTTGTTTGTTTGTTTTTCTTAATTTCTTTTACTGTATTTCTTTCTTGCGCAGCACCGTGTCATGTGTTACAAAGATAACAGCACACCCACTTCTTGCATTCTTGCATGAACTAATTATGATAACTGATAACTGTTGTGGATCCACCATGATCCAATCACTGAAATCCAGGTAAGTACCTCATCACGCAGACGGGTAGATCTCCGAGTGCAGCTCGGCTGTGGATACTTCATGCTGCTTTTGTCTTGACTCATGTGTTGCTGGATGGGCGAAGGGTTTGGCGGAGGGGGGAAGTGCATTCTTCCAAGCGGGTGCTGTGCGAAGCGTGAATGAACCTCCCAGTGCTGCCTTGGAAGGGAAAAAGCAGCAGCAGAATCGCAAACACCAACTTTGTAGTTATAGTTGATAATTTTTTGCCCAAACGACCACGACCTAATTTGTCCATTTCTGTATAAATACTGTAATACCTATTCATATATATATATGTCCCGTTCTTTGATCTTGAGTGACCATCTTCTGACCTAAGGCAAAGCACGACTGGAGTTTGCTCTACTGGGCTTCTGAGATGAATGGGAATCCCGTTTTGTTTTGCTCAATCCAGGTGGCTCCATTTGTTGCAATGCCTTTAATCGCTCGGAGTTCTAAAAAGACTTACTGCATGCGATCTAAGCGTCTTATGGCGCTTCAGATGACATTTCAGGTTTGGGACAAGCAGAGATGTATGGCATCCATCAAGGCCAGATGGGATTTCGAGATGTTTTGAGGGCAGCTGAAGGCTGTTGTGTGCTCGTCGGACACAGATCGTATGTCCCAACACGCCTGAGAAATGCCAACTGGGTAAATTGGTAGTAGAAACAACTTGTTTGAGGAACGAGTTGTTGCTTACAAGTCTGACGCCAACATCTGTGAGAAACGGTCTTGTTTGCCTGGGTCCTAGTAGGTCCCAAGATGTGTGTCTTTCATTAAAGACAACGGCTTCCCCGGCCGCGAATCTCTGAATCCCCTGAGTGCACGACGCAGGTGTCCAACCCGCAGAATGCTCTCATCCGCGAGTGCTCCTTTAACCCCACAGACTCCTCCATTGTGTGCGTCGCCTGGCAGAAAGCCTTGCTGGCAATGGGCATGTCGTGTATGGATGACCCCAACATGTGTGGAATTTATGTCCATCTACTGTATGCCCTTGGTGCATGTCCTTTTGATTCTTTTGCATGGCATGGAGGCGCATCGCTGAAAGCCTTACAGGACGCCAGGACGCCAAATGACGGTCACACACTGCACACGGTCGCCAAGCGAGTTTGGTGACTCTTGTGGAGAGCAAGTGTTGTGTTCATGTTTATTCACCTGATCATCACACACAAGTTGATCCCTATAGCCTATAGTCTTATAGTCCTTCGGCAAGTCCTTTGGACCCAACAAGGTAAGATGTTGCAGGTGTAAGTGCAACATGCAGTTCAGCTGACTGCAGTATAGTTCAAGAAGTCACCCTTCCAAAGTCTTGGGAAGACAGGGATCAAGGGCTTCTTTGCCTCTGCAAATCCCTCGCGACAAATGGGAGTTTGCTCAGGATACTCCTGAAGAGGTCAGCGAGGAATCCTTCAACAACATAAGGTGGCAGATGTGTTCAGAATTGAGAGGCTCCCACTTTAACAAATCCGAGGTAGTCGGTGATGGCATTTTGAAGTTCATGCAGCTCAAGGCCAGTTCACAACCTTGGATGAAGCTGAAGTAACTGAAGTGTTTTTTTTGGCTGTTTGAGTTTGGCATAGTTTCGATGTGCCAGGATGGCTTCAAGACTCTACCAGTCGCCCCACCTAAGTTGCAGAGTTTCATGTGTGCTCCTGGCTGCACTGGAATCAAGTTGAACAGCTGCCTTTCTTGCAGTAACAAGTGCATCGCTACTAGTAACAAGGGCGTTACTACTAGTAGCAAGAAGCTACTAGTAACAAGTGCATTGGAATCAAGTTGAACAGTTGCCTTTCTTGCAGTAACAAGTGCATCGCTACTAGTAACAAGTGCATTGGAATCAAGTTGAACAGTTGCCTTTCTTGCAATAAGAAGGGTATTACTACTAGTAGCGATGCCCTATGTTACTGGTAGGGAGAACGCACTTCTGTCCAGGTCTGACTGGCTCGGAAGTTGTATCGGTGGGGACAGCCATCGACTGTTGACGACTATTGTGCACTGCAGTGGTAGATTGGTGCTACTGGCACTGGTGCAATCAAAGGTCTTTGCCCACACCATTTTTGTTTGGTGGATGGTCAGGGTATATAGTAAAAAACCATAGGCAGGACAACCCCACCTGAACTACCACGGCCTTCGACACCCTTATCTTGTGCTAGTTCAAAGAAATGCCGGCCTTTCAACCAGGTTTTGCCCCAAACCACATGCAAATGCATAGGATTGTATACAGTAGGTGGAATTACAGTACATGGATGACCCAGCTGCACGGCTGTCCTGAGGTCACGCATGGCTTCACGATGATAAAATGATCGTGGGCTGTGACAATGGAGACCTTCTGCTTTTTGACAACGCAGGTGAGGCATGGTGAGACTTTCCGGAGACATCGGCTGAAACATTCAAAGCAGCAAGGGTACATGGCTTCGCCAAGCCACGCAGATGAAACTCTTTGTGACTTTTCCAAGTCCTGCACGAGAGGATGTGCCGTCTTTTTTTGAGTCGAGAATAGAAGAAGAGACGTCCAATCGGGGTTTCGACGGTTTTCTGAATCTCCACCTATTCGATTTGAGTGAAGTTCCATTAACTTTGAAAGAACATGTGTTTTTGTTAGGAGATCGTCCCCAAACTGCATACCTACTTTGTTTGCTGACTTTCTGCTGTGGGCGCACGTTGACCAGAAGTTGATGGCTTGCATAGACTTCTCTAAACTCAAGTTCGGAGAATTGAGTCCATTGCCCCCCCCACAAAGGTGAACTGCCGAACCGCTTGTCTCACTTCTTGTGTCGCCACCCTCTATAAAACGGTTATGTACTGGTACAAGAAAAAAACCAGCACCAGGGTGTTGGTCTTGACCCGCGACTACCATATAAACAATCGGGAAATCTCCACATCATTGAACATATCCCAAGCGACCATATGTGAGAGCCTTGGGTTCGAAGCATTCGCAGAATCTGAGTTGCAAAAACCTTATAATGTATATATATATATAATATATAGTCATATATGTACATATATATATATATACACACTTATATGTTCCTTGAGCCGTGTCAGTGAGCCGGAGGTGAGTTTCAATGCGTGCTCCCAACAAGCCCTGGAGAGCCCAGGGCAGCCACATGTGTGATCCCCTGCTCGAAGGCGGGCACGTCTCTCATGACATCTCAGGACATGTAGTAAGAATGCTCGGTTCGTAGAGATGCCAGGAGCGTCCTTGCTCCTAGTAGTAAGGCCAGGAGCCCCTAGTAGCTTCTTCTTACTAGTTAAGTTTCCCTAAAGATCTAGGAACCAAATTAATAGTGCGAGCGCTTCTTCCAGGAAGCCCCCCTCACCCTCAGGCGGGGGGAGCTTCCTTGAAGAAGCGTGAGCTATCCTGCGTCCAAGGAGGTAGCTATTTAAGCTACTAGCTACCTAGCTACTACCTTGGCCCGCGGGCCAAACAGATGTGTATATATATATATACACACTGTATGTTATATAAATCTATATTGATTGATTGGCTTGCCCACCTTATCCCGTTTTGCCCTGGCTCCCCCGGACATCCAAGACCTGGCTTTGAGGGTTGGACTTGGGCTGAAAATGAGTTAAGCGATGTTGTTTTTGCTTTTTTGTTTGGGGACACGGCAAATCTGCATCTTGAAGTCAGGGCTTCATCATTGGTGGCGACGATGGGCGCATTCGTGCTACTTGGGAGCGAGGAAATTAAGGACATTTGGGCAACGAGTGGTAACGATGTGTCTTCTTGTCTCAAAGCTGCTCATTTCAACCACAAACCACGGACACGCAGAAGAGATGCGAAGAATATCGAAGAATGGGGCTTGAACCAAATTTGCTGAGCCCTGTCCGATTGTTCAGCCTGTCTTAAAGGGACTCACCTGAAGATGTCTCCATGTGATAAGTGAAACATTTTTTGTTTCGTTTTGTTGACAGAGATGTTGCTAGTTTTTGCGCAAAAGTTCCGTTTGCTGGGGCTACCACCAAAGAAAACTTCACCTGTGGTGTCTCAAAGGGAGGTTCTGCAAACCTCTCTGCAAGATACACGTCTTTGTCGTCTTTGTTTACTTGTTAAAAAGGATTTCCGCAGCAATAAGTCGCAAGTCAGCCATGGTCGGCCATCTTCACCCTCCCGCAAGATGTTTTCACATAAAAACCGGCGAACTGAGCGAACTCGTCGAACTCAGATCTATGAGAAGAGCGATGAGCCAAAGGAGACCGGGTGGGTTTGATCCCTGTAGGGTTGGGCTTCTGTGGATGATTCTAGACTAAACTATGGAAGTAACACCCATAGTATACAGTTATTTTTCAAGTAGATAGAACGGGAATCTGGCCTGAATGTGCACATATCCAACAACATGTCCCAACAGGTTGGTTTGAACCTTGGATAAACCACGATATATATATATATACATATATAATCCCCGCAAAAGCCATGAATATCTCACTTGTCCCCCAAGACAGTTTTCTGGAAGACCTGGTTTGCTTTTGCTCCAGTATTGCAGCCTGTCATTTTTCCGTAATGTGTACCCACATGTAGTTTCGTTTCTTTGAGCTGCTGGTCGCCACGCTAGGAGATTTATCGCCAAGCCAAGCTGCTCCAAGTCGAGCCCAACTCTGGCGCGGCTGTGAGATCACTAGCTTTGAGCCCTTCAGAAGAGCCCCTTGGGTTCAGTCAACTCCAGCAGGTGAGTCGTTTGGCAAGTGAAGGCGTACCAGATCACTGTTGTACGGAAGAGCTCAGGATGATTTCCTTGGTATGCTTGGCCTTCTGATCTTGAATTGCCACCCAAGCTTGACCTGAGAGTGATCAGCCTCATGTTACAGACATCCAAATCTCTGGGTCCACTGTTTGATTGATAATCTCCACCGTTTGCTTGATTATTGTCCCGCCGGGACATTTGACCACTAATCACTAGTCATCCTGACCACAAGAGGAGCCCCAGGCTATTACAATGCTCTATATACTCACAATATTCACCTCCCAGGTTGCTGGGTGTGACGACCTCTTCAGCCCAGCTCTACCAGCTCTCCCTTTTGGGACAAGACTTGATGAAGGCGGAGGAGGGCCAGAGCCAGAAGGGGGTATCCGTCCGTCAAAACTCCTGGCAGAGGGGCCCCATATGGCCCCGCCGATGGGCGCCGGTGGGCCTTAACGGTTTTGCAGTGTTGGATCCACTTGATGAAGACAAATTAAATAGCGTAGCATAACTTTACGCTAGTCATGTGACAAAACTGACGCAAACACCTTATACGCATTTATAAACTATATATGTTGATCTATAATCAAGAACGCACTTTGCTTAAAGCTCGGCAGGAGACTCCTGCCTTTGAACCTGTGCTTAGCCATTTCCACACAGGCACGAGCGGAAAACACAAAAGACGATGCACATATGTTGATTCGTTCATTGAGTGCTTTTTTTTCTCCGGAGAAAGTGGACCTGAATCTATTAACTTTCTCTGGTTTGGTCGTGGGGGTCTCCTATTGAGTTGGAAAACAAGCTGCATGTCTTCGACTGGCGTCTGGTTCAAAAAGATAATGGGTCATTTGCTGGTTTGGGTTTGGCTGAAGCCAAATGACATCAAATGATTCAAACACCAAGAGTGCCCAGGCGGCCAAGTGTCCAACATTGGTTGCCAAAGAGTGAAGAGTGATATTGGCACTTCAGTGATACATTTTATACATATATACATATACAGATGGTGGTGGTGGTGGTGGTGGTGGTGAACACCCACGGATACTAGCTGTTGAAGCAAAGGACAGTAAGTAAAAGTGATGTAAGCCTTAAGTTTTGCTTGCAGTCTAGCCAGCGAGGCGCCATTTTGGGGCTGGATGTTTGCATCCGAAAGCCCTTGGTGATTTGGAAAGCATATTATGTGCAGGCCTGTGCAGGGTTGTAATCATATAAGTTTCCTTGGGCTGCTGCTCCTTCTCTCGTGGACATATTTTTGTTGGGTTGTCTTGGAGCCCAGTGAGATCCAGTAAACTTGTAGGGCCACGGAAGCAGAAGCGAGAATATTCCTCGGTGTCCCAGTGCAGTCCCAGTCACACTTGCCACAGCTGAGGTGGTCACTTGTGGCATCGACAAGTCAGCTCGAGTTTGGAATTACTTCGAGAAGACCTGTGTGATGTGCCGGTGGTTCAATGAGGAGGCCCCAATGGTCACTGATTTTGTAGAACTGTAGAACGCATGTTGGCTGCTCTCTACTCTTTGGGCAAGCCAAATACTGATGTTGGTGGATGAACCTCACTAGCACACACTTGCATATGTCAATCCAGTTTGGAGGACAGGACACGCAATTGTCAGCAAAAAAGGATCGTGGGAACTTTTGGCATGGTTACATTGTATTTGCAGCATGGAATGTCTCAAATTCCACACCATCTCAGATTCATCGTTCCGTTCACCCCAACAGCAGTCCGCGACGAATGCGTCAGCCCATCCGCGACCGAGGCTGCACACACGCTTGATTGTTTGCAGGTTTTGTCAATCGATTAGTAGCTTCTTGTTACTAGTAGATACTTGCTCCTTGCTCCTAGTAGCGATGCCAGGAGCCCCTAGTAGCTTCTTGTATGCTAAATTGCAACCATTGGCCATTGGCATTGCATTAATCATTACCTCCATTCCCTCGTTGTTTAGGACGCACCAATCGCGAGGCCTATAGCATTGCGTTTCATCCTTCTGGCTTTCACTTGATCATTGGGCAGTCAGACAAGCTGCGGCTCATGAACCTCCTCATGGAGGATGGCAGTGCTGTCAGGGTGAGCCCATGTGTATTAGTTCATGTTTGACTCTTGGGAGGACATGAAAAAGGTGTATTAGTCCAACCTACTAGCAATGGCCTTCAACCTAATAGCAAACGATATTAGACCTTTCTGCCTTTCTTCCTTTTCTTTATTCTTTGTTTCTAATAGCGATGGCCTCCAACTTACTAGCGATGGCCTCCAACCTAATAGGGATGCTTGACTCTTGGGAGGACATGAAGACATACAAGGATATTGCCATCAAACAGTGCAGAGAGTGCCGATTTAGCAACGGCGGTCAATACTTTGCAGCGGTCAACACCAACGCCACCAATGCGATTCAGGCCCGGATGTTGCTTTTGGTGCTGGAACACGCGCTGAACTCCTTAGTTTTTGACAGCCTCAGTGAAACAGATTGTTGCGCAGGATTAATGCCCTGCAACTTGATTTGGATTTACAAAGCCTGTGAGGGGCAACCGTATGCTAGAATTCCTTGTCCTGTAAACGTCTTATTGTACTTCCAGGCTTTAAGTGCTTCACAATTCATGAGACTCATAGACCAAACATCCCGCACGCCGCACACACCCCACGTTTTGCCATGCTTCACCACACTGAAGTCTCCGATTGTTTGACTTCCCAAGGTGTACAAGACCTACACGGGTGAGCCGATCGACACCCTGAAAGGTCACACCAACAAGGCCGATTCGAGCCGCACCGCAACGAAGCGGCTTCAGGATTGCCATGATTTGGTTTCACCAAGTTGGCAAAAGAAGACGGGATTCCCTGTATAATTACAGAGATTGGAGGTGTTGGTTTCTGCTTGTCTTGTGAACACCTACCCGACCGCAGACAATCAGAATTACAACCCTTGCGAACCTTGTATCGAACATGTTAATCTATGTTTCAGCCCAACCGCGGCCTCTTCAAGAAGCGACGGCGACTAAAACATCCAAGAGCCAGAATAGAGATCTATGTTACAAGATGTTACAAGTTGCAGGAGATATATGTATTATCATGTATTTGTATATATATATAGTAGATGACTTTAAGGTGAAACCTATGCACTATGTCGAGTCTGTTCATATACAGTAATTCATGAGGTCCTGAAACGATCGACGACCTCTCATCCGTCTCATCGAGTCGCGGCCAACTGGCAGTGAAGTGCATGGTCCATACAGAGCGTCAAAGAGAGAGGTTGCCAGTTGAAAGCAATCTGTATACAGAGCAGTGATATCAGCTGATGGCAGACCGAGAAGAAACCTGATTCCTCCAAGCTGATCTACTCCGCAACCTCCATATATATATATATATTTTATATTCATGATCAAGTCCTGACCTCAGGTTCGCTCAGTTGCCTGGACAGCAGATGACAGTATGTTGGTTTCGACTGGTGCAGATGGCGCTGTCTATGAGTACTTTGCCACTTGTGCCAACACTCCCGGTGGCTGTCGGATCCAAAAGTTTGGGGCGCACGTGCGGTATGGTCTTTTCCCCATATGGAGATCTCTCGCATTTGTTTGGGTGGTTGTGTTCTGTCATGTGCTGCTGTTGTTGTGGTTGGAGTTGTCGTTGTGTTCGTTTTTGTTGATTTGTTTTAAACATTTTTCTCACCATGCTGATCTTATCCCGCTTTTAGCATGTTTTGGTTTGCTAAGCTGCTTAGCCTTGGTAAATAGGTGTGCAGATTTTTTTAGGTTAGCTAGCTGTTATTCCTGCTTTCGGGTGTATTGACAGTGCTTGTGATGTTAGCATAAATGATGAACAAAATCAAGTCATTCTTTCTCGGTGAAGAAATTCTGAGTTTGAACTTGGCTTAGTTTGGGTGTTTTTGTTGTGGCTTGGACAAACTTGAGGGTTCCCGCGTACGCATATGCACACAGCATTATATTGTGGTGCAGCTGTTCAATCATGTTGGATCATTCACAGTTTCATGGTTGGCTTGGTTAGAGTTTCCCTTTGTGGTAGTAGGACTTGGCAACTCAGTGTTATTGTTGTTCCCCTAGCGATCCAAAACATCAGCAGTCACACGAGGATATGTAGCATTTCTGACCTTCTTTGCTCCTGGGAACCCCCCATGAGTTACTATGTGAACAAATAATTATGTGTGATCCTTCAGTCACCGTGGCCTGACCCAGCTAGAGCAATTCTAAGGTCCAAGCTGAAACTGGCAACCCTGGCCGTGATGGGCGGCGCAATGCTCACGACTTTGTGCAAAAAACCAGCTCTTTTAGCTGCGTCATCGTTCATGCGGACCAGAGTTCAAACTTCAACACCATGCAACTTGACCAATTGAGGAACGTTGCCAGTCTTTTTTAGTGTTTGTTTTATTTCTATTTTTTCGCAATGTCCTCATGTTGCATTACAAGGGTTGTGTACATACATGAATCATATATGAGCACCTATCAAAACCCATCCTTATCTAGCAGACCAACATATGCTAACATCATGTTTTAACGTGCTAGTCTTGGTAGTAAGGATAACCTCAAGCACAAAAAACGATACCAATCTTAATTGCATTACATATTGGTTCTGATAGTGGTTCTGATATAATATATATATATATATACACACACATGTTTGTTTAAACACACATTTATTTTTTGCTCGATATGTTCTTTGATACATATATATATATATTTATATTCTGATATATCCTTTGAGAACGAGATATCCTTTGCGCTCCCTTAGATGTTGCCTTCCTGTTTTTGTTGCCTCAAAACGGCGGGGTTTGTGTGGAATTTTCAGCATGGCAAACGATACCCCAAACAATACCATTCTGATCAATATGTGTGCATTTTTAGGCTCACAAGGCCGGAGCTCCATATGTGTTCCACACATGTGCCTTAGTAGGAAGGAAAAGAAAGCCATAGAACGCTTTGTGTCACATGTGGGACTCTGACGATCAATAAAAAGAAGCAGCGGCCACTGTGGGTGCGTTGATATATATATATATAGGCCTTCATGTTGGAGTGCTGATTCCCAAAATCGACGCAAACCTTCCAAAACGATAGGGTCAGCAATAAAAAAACGATACCATCCTTTTAATGTCCTTTATGACATGCAAGAGGTTTAGATCGCTACTCATATAGGTGCATGATTCCACCAAGGAACTGCCATATGATTGAGGATAGTCACTGTTTATGAAATATCCCAGGCAGTGTTGTTGTTTGTGTCCAGAAGTGATGACATGCCAGTCTTGTTTCTTGGGGCTATTGGCTATTGCTGCCTGAACGTTGGGAAGGACACAACTCCAGCATTGCACTTTGTATGACCCAGGTATGTGGTGGGGAATGACCAGCTGCTGCGAAAGATTTACAAAGGCAAGGACTGAATTCGGATCACACCAGCCAAATGGAATGCACAAGCGTTGGGGTCAGCATGGTTCAGCTGTGCAAACATGAAACATGTCTTCCTCAGTTCTCTAGGTGTTCGATGTCGCAGTTTCTGATGCTGTCAATGCTCCGCTTTCTGCCGGATCGACTTTTGCAACATCCGTCATTCAGGTGAATCCAGCGGCACGGTGAAGGACGCTTGCCAACAAATGATCGAAAGGGATGGCAACGGGAGTATCGGTAAGAAGGTTGATCCCCTTCTTCTCCTTCTCCTTCTTGATTCCATTTGGAGTCGAAACACTTTTTTCACCTTGCCTTTTTGGAACCGCCTGAAGAGGTCCAAAAACGTTTTTTTTTTGGGCCACGTGTTTCACACGGGCGACTCGTGCAGCCAGCGGGCCAAAGCGCAGAACGGCTGCAGGGCCACAATGGACCACACAAACACTCAGCGGCCGTCCCAGGCAGGCACCACCTTGGGGCAGATTGTCCTGGCCAACTCGGGGAAGGGTCTCTTTGCGGCGGTCGCCGAGCCGGATGCCCCCGGGCGGATCCGTTGCTACAAATTCCCGCTGAATGGCCCGAGAGCCCAGTGGGCCGAAAAGAGGGGAATCGTCCAAAGCGGACCTGGCGTTGTTTTTGGCCATATGGTCTCATGATGTCTCATGTTTGTCCTGTCAGGGCTGTGATTTTGTAACTTCGAGTGCTCATCCAAGAGCTGAGGCAGGTCATACATAATCAAGACAGGACCACAAAACAACATTGGCACAAAAGTAAGAGCTGCCGCATGAAAAGCCTAAGGAATTCTGAACCAATCTAGTTCCTGATCCATGAAGCATTTGCATCTACCTTAAAGGACGACGTTTCTGAAAGGGGTGATCTAAATTGATGGATTGAAACGTCCCGTCCTTTCATGTTTGGTTTTCATGTGAACCCTCCCTCCTTTCGCCCGTGCTGGAGTGCAGGTGGTGACAACAGCTGTGAATGGACAGACTTCTCTGCACATGCAGCAGCTTGGACTTGGACACATTTTCCTAGACCCCCAAAAGAGCTGCATGTTTGATTGCATGCTGCATGCGTGTAGTCTTTCTAAGACATTGACACTATTGGCATCTATTGGCTCTTGTTCAGACGGAGCCAATGCCCGAACTCCCATACTTCTATCTCAGCCCGGCTCGTAGCTTGAATTCAACACTGGCCGTTCAATCCATAGGGGCAGTGTGAGATACAGTACGCATGCACCCTGAATTTGTTGACATTGATACATCATGATAGATGTAGCATTTAATCATATAGAATCGTTCTGCGCATTGTTTCTCATCCGTGGCTTACCGTACCTGCCCAGAGGGCAAGAGATGTGCAAGCGTTTGAACCCCAAAACCGTGGTAGATTGGCCTCCCTGTTTTGTTCATTTGTGGGGTGCACCAGCGCCCCTAGGTTTTGACCTACTGCCATACTGCCAAATGCCTACCTCCCAAGAATGAGGATTCCTTGGTGCAAGATTTCATCTGTTTTTTGCACATTCGCCCCCCAACTGTTCAACATTGTTCAACGTTGCAGCCCAAGAGGGCACATCGTAGCTCCGACTTTGCAGCAGAAGTCTTTGTCCCGGCTTCGTCAGTTTGAGGGAAAATCCTGCACATCCTTACTTCTGAGGCACCAGCCACCCGACTTCGCATCAGCGCGGATGACTTTTACCTTTTCTCCACTGCTGAGGAATCACGGGAGAAACGTAAAAATTCGCAGTTCCATGCGATCAGGTTTGGCCAAGCCACTGACGTGGCTTCCGATCAGATCGACATCAAACATCTCGTAGGTTCAGGGGCCTTGCTTTTGCAAGAAACCTTGCATCCCGATACATGCTAATCAAACACTTTGGGGGGCAGGCAATTGTCAAATTTGACTTTCATGGCTTAGACGGAGTAGGTTGCGACTGTGTGATTCACGGAAGGGCGCTGGCAACTTCCTTTCCAGCTTAGAAGTGAGCAATTGAATTGAATGAAGCTCTTGATCGACATACCTGAATTTTGGTGCACAGGATGGAACTCTCTTCGTCTTTGATGTTAAGCGGAAAGACCGAAATATGTCCAAGCGGGACAAGGCGCTGTGATTTCGTGCCTCGTTGTTGATTTGTATGTTTGGTGAGTCTGATGCTATGAGTTGGTGCCATATATACTGTAAATAATTACAACTGTATGTTGTTATATATTATATATTTGTAACACTCAGTCCAAGAGTTCCAGGGGTGAAAGGCTTTGAGCAACGATGAGTGACATATATCCTGAAGCACAGACTGTTGATGTGTTGGCTGCGTGCAAGTTCCACCAGGTGTTAGGCGGTGTCATACATTGCCGGCAAGGAGCTAGCTTAAGTTTAGAGACTGTGGATTTGTAGGTGGAGAGTGTCAAGGATTTCTCCTGATGGTTGTTTTGATTTTGTTTGTGGTCATTGGTGGAATGCTTGCACTTGAAGCGGTAGTGCAGAAAGTTTATCCCCAATGAAGTTCAACATGTTTCCCACTCCGCCGGTCCTGTCCTCGCAGATTAACAAAAGCTGCTTTAATGACTTTAGTTGCTTTTCTGAATGTAGGCAAAGCCTTGTCAGCCTTGTTGATAGTGAAATTCCTTTGGCGGGGCTTGCTTTCTGCCTTGACATCCCTTAACAGAATTGGGTGCCAGCATAAGACGAAAGTGAGGAAAGGACATACTGCGTACACCATTGGTGGAACCCACCCTAGCTGGCTGCAGTGCAGGTGGAGGGACCAGCCTGCACCAAACCTGCGAATGCAGATTGATTGATATTGATTGCCCTTCATCCCTGAGGGTCTTGGTACTCCGTATAGGGATCGCACCAGCATCACTGTGAAAGCAATATGTTGACTTTTGAATGCAGGAAAGTGCGTTGCCACTCGCTGACGAGATTCTCGTCACACGAACCTTTTTGGATGATAAGCAAGGGCAGCTCAATGAGTTTGAGCCGCTTGGCCCACAGGGCGAAGCTAACTGTTGTTCGATGCCAAATTAATGCCAAGATGAGATATGACGTGCTAATCTTGCCCTGAGTTCCGCCTTGACAAGAGAACATCCCGACCCCGCACATGGAATCTTGCTGTTTGTTTGGAAGCCTGTGGTGTGCATGCAACTCAATCCTGCATATAAATAGAGATTAGTTGAATTACCGTGTGAACAAATGGTAGCCAGCCAGGCAAGATGTTGCAGGTGCAACAGGAGGCATGTCCGTGCACCTTCGGAAGGCCGCGTAGGCAGACCGATGAACTAAGGCGGCAAGTGGACGAGCTGTCCAACCAGCAGGAGTTCCAACTCAGGCTCGGGCAGTGGTTCGTGGGCTTCAGAACACCTATATTCCGTTCGAAATGGTTCGAGAGTTCATTTTGTAAGGATCCAAAAATCTCATTATAAATACCTGTTACCGCAATCATGTAATCATTTCTATTCCCAATTGCGCTTGGAGGTTCCGATCAGGTTGTGAGGTTGCCCGAAGAAGCCCGTCGTGCTCCTGTCACGTCAATTCTCCAGTTTCTATTTTTCACTCCAATGCCAGTTGATTACTGCATCAAAGATGCTAGTTGAACAGTCCAAACATGTAGAATACCTACAGTAAACACACTTCACTTACTTGCGTATCTACAAACATCTACAAACATATCCAACAATTTCCAAAATCAATGATTGTATAATATATACACGCAATCCAAAAACGTTAAACCCGAGCTGCTTGTTGTTTCACCAGGCATCGCGATAGCTTCCATAAAGAAGAGATGGTTGCCATGGACGAGAAGTACACGGCCGAGATCGATGAGGCGAAGACCGTTTCACCGGTCGAGGTCGAGCGTCTTCCGGAGGTCGACCTCGGTCTACACTTTGGAGCTTGAGCCCAGAAAGCTGACTGGTGCTTAGCAGGGAATGAGGGAATGACCCCTATAGATACCTTAGGAGTCGGAGTCAATCCCCCATTCTCTACTAAGCACCAGTCAGAAAGTGGGTGAAGATCGGTTGCCACGAATGGCAATGATTGGTTTCGAGAACTACGGAGACGGCATTTGGTAGACAAACCATGGCTGTTTGCTACATCTAATTTGGACCCTGTGCTGTTCCGAACTGCTGTTACCAGATGACATATTTCAGCAGATGGCTTGTCTCTTTGGCTCTCAGGAGCGGCAGAAGTATGAAGTTCTTCGGGAAGAGAAGAATGATGCTGAGATGGAGGCAACGGGGCCCGACTCGGGTCCGACAGGGCGCCAAGTGGCCGTTGAGCATGCACAACATGTGGGGCGAATGGGCGCTGTCCACCTTTTTTGGTGCTACTGGTATCAAAGGGCATTGCTACTAGAAGCAAGAAGCTACTGGTAGCTCGTGGCATTACTACTAGTAGCTAGAATAGAATCTACTAGTCTTAGCAACAAAGGTTTGTCTCCGCTGTGCTTCAGAAGGGCTGTACACTGTACACTGCTGCTGGTCACTGCTCCCCTCAAAAATCTGGTCAGCTCACAGCTTGCAGGTTCTTGGTTGTAATTGTGTGACTAATCTAATTTACAATATCAACTTGGGCAGATGGATGCCCAATTTTAGTAAGGAAGACCTAGAGAAGCGCAAAGAGACAATGTTCAAGAAATCCCCAACTAGCAGGGTTCCAGGAGTTCACTTGATGGTGAGTATAGTTTATACTGTTTGCAAGTCTGATCTATCGTGACGTTTTCTACCTGGATGTTTCTTTTTGAAACTGCCACGTGACTCACATGGAAAACAATTTAACACCTGCTCGAGTTTCCAACGCTTTCATGTTCGGTGAGAGGAATGTTATTTGGCTGATAAGACCCAAAAGGAATCCCACACAACGTGAACAAAGATCGGAGATGCCTTCTCTTTTCGGGTTTTAAATCATGTTAAATCCATGTGAGATGGGACAAAGAGATTTGAGAGGTTGGTAATCGCCGGAAGAATGTAATCGTTGAGCTGCGCCCCGCAAGGCAGAAGAGAACATCAAGGGCCTCCTAGAGCATCATGCAAAGCAGGACCAAGATCTTGAGCAAAGCTTTCAGGAGAAGATGATGGAAGAGGTGAACAAGTATCAGCACCTAAGCTACAGTGACGAGCAATGCTTGCATGCTATGGGGAAAGACAAGCAAGCCTTGCTCAGATGTGAGCAGCCAACAGGGTCTGTCAAACTGGGGCACAGGCACATGAGGGTTTTAGTATGTCTTAGTATTGAGCATGAAAGGAAGGAGATAAATAGATCAAGCAAAGTCAAGCACGGTATCCACTTATAGTGTATTACTGTATATAGTAATATAGTATATGGATTGTGCTTCTTTTTATGAGTTGGTTCAGCTATATATATAGTGGTTGCTAAATTAGTGCGAGCTCAAGAAAAGGACACCCACCCTTGTGCTAGCTAATTACCAGACTCGGAATCTAGATGGTCAACAAGGTGCAGTGAGTGCTTTAGCAGGAAAGGACATGAGTCTCAGAAATGAGAAGACCCTTCCAAAGCACCCAAGAGACAAAGAAACACTTGCACGCTCTCGACATGCTTCCACAGACACTACAGGCTGCTTGTGCCTTTTGCAGCTTATCGAGTGGGAATTTGTTGGAAAGAGGGATCGGAGGTAGTTGAATAATTGCTTGTGGGATCTCGCATCTTGAAACAGGGTCGAAGAAGCTGCTGATGTTCAACACGAAAACCTAAGCTTGACACTCAGGAAGCTCGCTGCGGAGCGGGATGAGATCCACCGGAAGTGGGGTGAGCAACATCAGCGTGTCATTGCAGAGCATCAAAAGAAAGTCAATGAGCTGCAAGCCAAATTCCAGGCCATGCTCCAACACGGCGTATTTCATGGTATTTCGTTGGTCGGTCCATGTCGTGTTGGTCCATTTTCCTCATGAATACCGACACAATCTCAGAACTTTCTTCAGAATCGCCGATGAAGCTTCGCTCTTCACTCACTCCTGTCAGCGGGAAGCGCTGATCCGGGCGACGTCTTGAAAACACTGATCCGGGCGATCCGATTTCGGCGGATCTGTGGTCAGGCAGAGCAGAAAGCGGACATGGAGGTGCTTCGGTCACGCTGAACGTTGGCTTCATTGAAGTAAACCAAGCCATGGCCTCAAACCTAGGACCTAGATGCGATGGCCTCTAACCGAATAGCAACGGCCTCCAACCTACTAACGATGGCCATTGTTATTTCAACACCGAACAGACTCTGGGTTCTGTAGTGCAAACTCGGAAGCTTTCTCAAGCCATGCAAGGCACATTTGCGTGTGAATGAGCGGTGTTTGTGAACAGAATCAGTGCAGGTTGCAGCTACTTTGCTTGGCAAAAGATGAGCTAAGCTAGGGTTTTGATTGACAAAAGCGTCCTGCCATTGTTTGACTATGTTTGACTGCCTTTTGTCAATAGGCCAATAGAAAAGGGAATTGACATGAATTGCCGGGAATCCACTAGCTCCTTCCAGCCTATCGAAGTACATCCTTGTCCTATGCAAGTCAGCAAGTCGTTTGATGATCCCGTGCTGGGAAATCGAGTGCGTCGGCTTCGGGCTTGGTTTGGATTCGCGAGGCCATTGAGCGCATTTTGAATGAGAAAGCCTTGGCTGAGAATGTCCATGCCGAGACCATGCGACAACTCGAGCTGGACCGAGGGATGTCAATGTAATATAGCCATATAGCCTCAGTACAGTCACTCTTGTATTTCAATCATGATTGCGCTTGTCGCTCTTGGCATAGAGCATGTTCTCAGGTCATGCACATGGCTGTGTTGTTAGACCCGCTAAGCCGCTTCGGTCGTGATCGTTCGCTGGCACCCACCCCAAAAATGCTTCAGGACACTGACCGAGAGATTGAAGAGCTGAAGGAGGATAAGGAGTGCATGTATTTGACAGCCTTGGGGTGCTGTACCTGCGCTTGAGTTCTCAAAGATTGCCTAATTGCCTCCTTAGGAGTAAAGACAGAGCCTCATGAATTCGATCGTAGTAATCCTTCAGGGTTTCCATGTATATATATATATATATCCGAACATTTACTCGAACAACATTTTGCACCTTTCTTGGCAGGAGACACGCCTCCGGGCAGAACGTGATGACAAAGTCCGGCTTCGAGGGCAAGCCGGAATTCACAAGCGCAATGGTGAGGAGAATCAGGGGGTCAGAACGTTGTCCAGCACTTGCACCTTTTGCAAAGCGGAGACATCCTTTTTGTTAAGGGATGATCGTTGCTGTTGGACAGCTTTCTCAAACCAAGCCTTGATGGGGTGAGGATGCAGCTGCATTGTCTTTCAGTGCTAAGATGATGCCCAAAGGGCATGAAAGGGCCAGAATCAGCGGCACACACATTGATGTCGTGAAGCGAGGGAGACATTAACTAGCAAGCTTGGGTTATTGAAAGAGCTATTTCAGCTTAGACCAAGACCTGTTTCCACCTACTATTCAACAGGAAAAGCCACATAGTGTAGTCGATTCGCTGGAGGCCTCAGGGCGTTTGCGGTGTGTTGGAAGGAGCTGAGCAAGCAAATGGCGCAAAAGGAAGATGAACGTCAGCGCTATCAAGAAGAGGCTCTTTTTTTTGGGTGACTGGAACATTGTAGTTCGGGATCCATTTCTGTTTTTTTCTTGTTTGCAAAACTCCATGGTGTTGTGTCTCGTTTGCTTTCTCAGTGTTCGTCCCATGAAACCCTCTGTAGCCTCTTGAGGAGTGACACGGAGTGATCATGATCATTCACAGTGCGCACAACAGTGTGCAAAGAAGCCTTTTGTTGTGAGATGGCATACGATGGCATGTCTACTCCACGCTGTACGCCTGGAACCTGATCAACATTGTCCACTCTTTGCTTTTCGGGCCACATGATGTGCACATGTGCATAGAATGCTTGAATAATTCAAAAGAGGCACGCAAGAAGGACGACAAGATTGCGCAGCTGAATAAGGCTTGGAACTTGGAAGAAGGGTTTTCTTCAAACTTTGCTTCAAATTCCAAGGTGTTCTTTCTTCTTGAGTATGCAATCCCGCACAACTGTTTCTCAGTGTAATTAATTACAATGGTGTTCAAGGGAGGGAGAATGACATAGTGCAGGTTTGGACTTCACAATATGATCAATATGTAAGATTGATATACTGTAGATCGATCGCCTTTGAGGAGCGGGAGCACAATGCAAAAGAGATCCGCCAACGCGACAGCACCATTGGAGTCTTGTATGCGGTTAGAGATCACAAGTTGCCCATGCACAAGTAGTTAAGTTTTCCTAAAAATCTAGGAACCAAATCATTAGCGCGAGCTATCCTGCGTCCTGTCGGTAGTAGCTATTTAAACTACTAGCTAGAGGTCCCTCCCCGCGGGCTTTAAAGAACTAGCAAAAAAGGGGCAAATCAAAAACACGAAAAAGAACAAGAAAGCATGCTGCATGCTGATGGTTCCTTATGGTTCCACTTCAAGAGTCTGCCAAGTTCTATTCCAACACTCTTGACCGTCGTAGCTTCCCTTGCGCTTCTGAGAAGTTGAGACGGCGATTGTTTGAGCCCCGTGAACCCCAACATGACAGCAGGTGACAAGGAAGGAAAGATCTACGAGCTCAAAAAGCAGAACCAGGTGCCTTGAGCTGTGGTTTTGTCGTACGGATTTGACATGATTTGACTCGATTTGACCAAAGTCAACTCCATTCGACCCACTCCGTTAATAAAGGAAGCAGTCCATGGAGATCAGTGGAGGGCACACGGAGCCTCGCCTAGGAGCTTGAGAAGTTCAAGTTCGTCTTAGATTACAAGATCAGGGAGTTGAAGGACTGCTCTGAAATTGAAATCTCACCGCGAGATGAATCGAATCCTGATGAATCCTGGATGCTGTGAAGCTCAGACTTCACCTGTCAATATCGAATCTAATCTAATAATATGCTTTTCATATGCTGTTCATAGGTCTTGTGAAAGCTGCTTTTGCACACTCTCCGAAGGCTTCTTGGGTGAATTCAAAGCTACTTCTGCCAGTTCAGTAAACGATGGACTTGTCGGAACATTGTGGTTTTTGAGTTGGCTTGTAATCTGCACCAACAAAGCAGTCGTCATTGAGAGACATGCCCCGCCCACCCTATCAGGGACCTGGAGGATCAGGTCGATAGCGAAGCAGATCGATTCGATGCTGCTGTTGTCTCCATCCCCATTTTCTCCCGTGTGTGGTATATGATCTTGGTTTGTTTTGCCATGTCAGCGACCAGGCACAGATTGATCCGAAGAACGACAAGATCGCAGAGATGAAAAAGGAGCTCTTTCATCCGATTGTTATGGATTTCTGCAAAACCACATTGTGAAAAATGGGGCACCAGGTTCAACATGCACATCAAAGGCTTGGGATCAACGCCGCAAAAGCAAACCTACTTCAAGACGCCTTGCAATCATAGCATTGGCCTGCATTAGGAGATTCAAGCAATGGATTCAGACTTAGAGGATTACCATCGCAAGAACACGCAGCTGCAGGCCGGGAGACACTGTTCCACTGTTCTCCCAAGTTGGTTCAAGTGACCATCATTTACGGGCTTGCTAGCAGAATGTAAGCCTGTGAAGGCGATAGTGTGTGCTGATATTGTGTATATATATATACACACTAGTATACACACTATATATTATATACATGATTTTATATGCAACATGTATATATATATAATATATATATGATTATAATTACATATAGTTTGATATAGTAATTGACACGTACTGCACATGATGCACATGCTATGGAGAGAGAGAGAGAGAGACAGAGTACTACAACTAAAGCATTCAATATTTGCAGTTTGGCCATGCATCATGGCTTTCTTCAGTGTGTTGGGGAATCTGGCGAGGTCAACATTCAACAGCTGACCAACAAGCACAAGACTCTTCAGGATGACATTGTGTCACAGCGGAAAAAGATGACGGACTGTCAAACGGTCATCAAGCGCTTCAAGACGGACTTGCATGAGCGCCTCGGAGAAGCGAACAGCTTTGAAGCGAGTTTTCCTGCCTCATAAGGCTTAAGAGAATCTCTTAATGTCTCTGATTCTCTCTCTCTCTCTCTGTTAGTGAAGGTGTTTTGCAGATGGAACATGCTCCCCTTTTTGCTGGAGTGCTTGGCTTGGTGGATAATATGGCCGGCCTGGCCACCATCGGCCGTCTTTTAGATAACATGAAGCAGACAACCACCATGGGCACATGCAGATTCAGCTGCAGAAACAGTTCGTCTAAGGTGCGTCCAGTTTATCCAGGAGCCAAGACTTCTGAAAGAATCCGTGACGGCGCTCTACAAGAAGTATGTTCCGACGCCATGCTGCATGCAGTATTGGTGTTTGTCCAGCTTATAGAACCCTGGTCGGAGATACCACATGTTCCTTATGTTTCTTGGTTTACAACCCCAAACTACCTGGCTATCTTTTTTTGGGCAGACCGATTGCACTGCAGTGCTTGGGAAGTCGACTGCCCCAGTGCCACAGCCTTGTCGGACCGACCTCCGCTCATGTCTTGACAACTTGAACTTCATGTTTGCTGCTCTTTGTTTAAAGTATGCATGATGGAGCTGGACAGAGGCCGACTCATGGACGAGAAAAGTTCAGTTGCCCTGTGTGAGTTGAGGAATGGTGTCAAGAAGCAAGAACTTGACACGGACATCCAGCGTGAGTACAATCGCCAACGCGACTATCTGGAGAAGTCTGTGGATAATCTGAAGAGGAAGTTCCTTGGACATTTGCAGATTCGGTGGGCAACCAAATCATACCAAATCCTATTCTCGAGACATAGAAGGGCAACTAACTAACTTGAAGCTTCTCCTTGACTCGTTTGGTTGCTTAGTTTTTTCCTAATAATTGCATTGTTGGCTTCAGTTTGTTCTGCCAATTCTGACTGAAGTATGTTCACTGTTATTTGGCTCGATACTCTAGACAGGTTTGGACCCATCGCTGTTTTCTCGAACCAAATGAACAGTGCGAGCGCTTCTTCAAGGAAGCTCCCCCTGGGTGCGGAGAGCTTCTTTGAAGAAGCGTGAGCTATCCCAGTAGCTAGTAGCATCATACTTCAGAGCTACTCGTCTTCTATAGCGTATAGCGGCCTACACCCCCCCTTCGGCCTATCTCACAGGTGCTCGGAGGGGTCAACGCGCTCGTTCTCGCACGAGGCTCTTGAAAGACTCTGATGTTCATCGACAGGATAACACCCGAGTTCTGCAGGAGAATGTGCAGCTGATCATAGAGATCAACAACTTGCAGCTTGATGAAAATCCGGTAGGCAAGGGTGTCGAAGCTCACCATAGTATTTGCTTAGTGCATTTAACTTAACTATAATGTTTGCAAAGCTTACTCCGGCGTGTGTTTCAATACATGTGTTTCAGAGAGATTGTAGGGTGTCCTAGATCAATCAAGCCTGGCCAAAGGCACTCAACTTAGAGCCGACATTGAGGGCCAAATCTTCAATCAAGTTGGATTAACTCATGACACAAAATAGGTACGGAGAAGAACGCCCTTGTGCTAGTGTATACTGCAGCAACAGTATGCGTGTGACTTATACTTATACGCTCTGAGAGATGGACCCCCGTTTCCTCTCGCCATATGCTGGTGTTCCACCCGCTGCATGACCGACCTTGCCACACAAAAGGCTGCTCTTTGCTGGACCCTGTTTCCCTTTCACGTTTCCTTTGCATTGTCACTTCAATCGTCATTATACTTACTGTAAGCCTGTCTATTTCTACCATGTACACGTATTACCATAGTTATAACGCACATATGTGTATATATACATATATATTCATTACTTTGTATTGGATGTATGGTATGGTATGTAATGTAATGTAATGCAATGCAATGCAATGTTATGTTATGCATGTATGTATGTCTGTCAGCCCCCTTGACTGATTGGTGCCCTTTTGGCCACTTTGGCCTCAAGCTTTCAAGTGGACCCTCGTTGAAAAAGAATATGTGGACAACTAGGAACAATGTTTTTACTACATGGTTTGTGGTATTGCAGACAGAAATACTGTTCTCAGGTAATAACTGACTTGATGCAAAATCACGGCACTAAAGATTTGCTCTGTGCAAAGTCATCGTTTTGACCAACCAGTTCACGCATCGGTTCTACTTTCTGTCTTACTCATTTTGCTTGTGGCACTAAGGAGAAGAGAAATCGACTATTTAAAGCGAGAGAGGCAGCAGCAGAGACTTCACGTCTCAAAATTAAAGAGCAATACAACGTCCAAATCAAGCACAGGCAGGATTGAATATCGGGTGTGTGCTGAAGGTGCAGTGCCTCAAGGCATTTTGTGAGTGAGCTCACAACAACTACTGGACCGCTTCAGCTACAACAACCAGACGCATGCCCAGAGCAGCCAGGTGTTGATGTATGTTGACCCAACCTACACTGTTGGTTTATGCATATATTATATATTTGAGTTTTATGTTTCTCTCCACATGCTGCAGGTGAAAGCAAACGTGTTTTCAGATGTCACCAAACCCAAGTTGATGTTTAGCGAAGCTACCGGACCACCGTCCCGGTGTTCTTTTTTGATTCTTCTTGTTGGGGTGACAAAAGGTTCTCCGCAGACCAGACCGGAACGGCTAGAACTTCTTTGTGCGGAGTAAGTGACTTGTGAGCTCGCTTGATGCAGGCAAGCCAGATGTGGATATTGCTACTCTAAATCGCAACTTAGCCTTCGTGTGAGGTATGGTTGGCAGGGGTTAACTCTTGCTTGTGTTGGCTTGATGAGTGAATTCAGAAAAGGTGGCAAAACCGTGCGTCAGTTCGTTTGTCCAATGGCCTGATACAACCAAGGTGAGGTTGAAAGCAACAGGACCCAGATCGATGACTTGCGAAGGACAGAGTGGATGCGGCTTCTTGAAAGGCGGAGTGTAATTATGAACCCATACATCACACCACCGTTCAGAATAAGCTTGGGACCCTGGGGCCGTTGCGAGAAGCAACAGCAATGCACTTGGTTTGAAGGAGAGTAGAGGAACAGATGACTCTTCGACAAAGTGCCCAAAGTGCAGTGGCAGACGCAGCAGATGTGGCAGATGCCCAGTGAGCCAATGAATTGCTGTTTGGGGTTGGACAGCTCCCGAAGATCATTGCGGTTTGAAAGCAATCTCATGCAACCCAGGTTTCCACAATTGAAATTTTAACGTGATCATAACTGCCGGCCCAACCCTGGAAGCGACACTCCTAATCTCTCGTAGTTTCACTAGCCGTGACTGGTTGTGACATATTGCATGTTGTGCAAACTGCAAACTGCAAAAGATGGAAGTGAACCTTTTTTTCAGTAAATCACGTGTTAGCTGTTTGTACTTGTTGGTTAAAAGACCAAGTCCTTACAGGACGCTGCAGGCACCGTCCCACACTTTGCACAACTCTCGATCGTCTCACGGATGTTTCATGCCTACTCGTGCCGAAAGTCATGGCACGTCTCTGGGCTACAGGTCTGGAGTAGTTGGCAAAAGAAACGACAGACCGAGGAATGAGGATGTGATGCCCAACTAGGAAAGATAAAACTGGGATTCTCGCATGGAACTAATTGGCCCTCAGTTCAACCGAAAGTCAGGTCAAGTTATTCATCATGCAGGCAGCAAGGCCACAGAAAGGCGGAACAGCACAGGCAGCTCAACAGTACAGCTGATGGTCAGAGGGTTGACATTTCGAGCCAAGATGGTCAGTACGCTGAGATGTAGTGAGATTGTCTTCGTGTGGAGCACCGTTTCGGAGACCGAGCACCTGGGGTGCACGGAGGGCACCAGAGGGCACTGGAGCACCAGTTCATGCTGCCGGTAGCCATGGAAGCACTGGCAGCACCAGTCGAACAAAAAAGCAAACATATGCTAGTACTCGACGCAAAGCCCTGTCATGGGCTTATTTTTTTTGTTTGCTCTTCGTCAGTCACGTCCAGCTCACAGAAGTACTCGATCCGCTCGACAAACTGGCTTTTGCAAGAAGTCTGGTGTCAACCTTTAAAGGCCTTTGCGCTTTGTACCACCATACTATTCACTCAGAGTGCGTGCAGCAATGTCCAGAAGGCGTTCGTCAACTGCCGAACGCTCTATAGTATAGTCATTGCGGTCATGTAACGTAGCCGCATCGCATCAAAACCTGCAATGAGACTTCTCATGACGCCGATGTGTGTAGCTGCTGACATGCTACTGACAAGATGCCGCCGATTCCAATCCCTTGAAGGAATGCTGGCAAGCTCCAGATGATGGGACCATGACACGCATCCGGGCGCTTGACAGCTAGCCAAGGCAGAGGGGTTCCCCTGTCCGACTTTGATCTGAACGAAAGGCCAACCCGTGTCCCTCAACCAATCTTTTGATCAGAGGGACAAGAAGGATTTCGAAATGTGGTTTGGAATTGTTTAGACATTTCGCTCGCCCTGGCGTGAGGGAAGACCCGAGCGTCGAATTGGGTCCAAAGCTTGGCTCAAGACTTCAAGCGAAAGACATGGACGGAGGGTTCGAACCTCAATGGAAAATGGTACAACATGGTACAACTGAGGAACCTGGTGCTTCTAGTGCCTCAGTTGCTTCACAGTTGACCAGTCCAGTCGAGTTTTGTTTGTGGAGAGTTGTTTGGACTTGGGTGTGGAACTTCTTTCATAGTAACTATGTTGATATATGTGAATAAGTCTTATTGTAGCTTATTGTAATATGTGTAATATCATCAGTTGCTGCGGTGCTTGGAATTAACCCCAATAGTATCCAATAGTAAGGTGGCTCGCGCAAAGTCAAAGCTTCACCCGGTGTTTTCCCATCCGTCATGGCATTGCCTTCCTCCAGGCAGGGTAGGGTGTTTCTGAAAGCATCATGTTGAGTTGCTTTGTCGGGTGAAGCACGAGCGGTTCGCGACCGAAGCGCAGCCCGCTTCAGCCCAGGCTGCTAGCATCTCTGCCCCAAAGCGGACAGGTTGGGAATCCGAGATGTGACCCGGACAGGACGGGAAAGCCGCGCTCGCTTGCGAGGGTTACGCAAACCTTGTCAGTGTTGGTCCATGCAATGTGGGCAAAAGCCGTGGAGTTGGCTAAAACCTGTGATTGGCTGAGGAGGTCTGTATCGATACGATAATGCTAGAATGGGTGCTGCGGGTATGAAAGTCATCATGACAATGTGTTTGGAGTTGGTTGCAACACATCAAGCGCATTGGACACGGAAATCTTCATGACTGGCAGCCCGTGACAGGGGATCTTGGAACACCAGCATGTGGTGAAGAAAGAGGACCGCAAGAAGAGATCCATGCCGGTTTGATGGGAAGTTGTTGGTTCCCCTGCGTTACCTTAGGGCTCCCAAGGCACCCAAAGGACTCCATCGTTCTTGAACAGAGTGGCTTTGGACCCCCAAACGCAGTCAGGCCATGTCAGGCCCAGAATGACAGCTAAACAAGTCATATCATCCTGCCTCCAGGAGGTTGGTGTGCTTCCTCCGAAGACCACCGTGGTTCAGCACCGTGGTTTCCCAGATCAGAAGCGCGAACAAGAGGCGGAAGGGGAGTAACCGTGTGTGTGTGAAGCGCTTTTGGTTTCTATGAGTCAACACGTCATTGCTGATGCGCTCAGCATGTTTTGTGGCTAGCAGATCGTAGGATGGGGTGTACCGGATGGACTCCAAAGCGTACTCAACCATACTCGATCAACTCAACCCATCTATCCAACCAATCACATTCAGTTGCCATGTGTGACATGTTTGTTTCGGAAAGCAGCATTGGACCTTCATTGTTTCCAGTGTGGGTCAGTCTGGACTCGAGTAGTTTTTTGTACAATAGCAGGTTTGACAGTGGATCCAGCAATTATTCAGATTTATGCTTGGAAGAGTTGAGTTTCATGGGAGCAAGGTCACAACCTCTGTAGTCATGAGATGAAAGAATTCTGTTATAAGGCTGCCTCGCGTAAGCCAAACACTGGGTCGTGTATGCTCGCGTAAACTCTACGAGAGCACATGGTGCATAAGCAAAGTCGGAAATCGTGTTTACAATAGTCGTAAGTTTTGCGCAATAGTTGTAAGCAACCAATGCTCAAGCTGCCGCTGTCGTGTGGCTGAAGTTTTCTTGTGCGTAAGCCTGGTAAGCTCCAAAAAGGTACCTTGGCATCGTGAAAGCTAAAACTTTGTATATTACGTAAGTGCTTGCGTAAGCAAATCCTATGACATAGTCATAGTCATAGTCCAAAACTGTATCATACGCTTTGACCGTCGCTCATTGGAGATGGGTGTTGCACTCACTGCACAACCTGATGGATGGATATGGATGGTATGCTGTGGGACGTTCAGCATTCACCGAGCTGCAAGTTGGTTCTGACCGGTTGTTCTTCTTCTTTGCTGCAAAAACTATCAAAAACTTTGCGAACACAATGTTTCATGGCCAGCTGTTTGGTTGTAGCAGTTTATCAACGGACTTTGTAGCATGTTGTACCACTCCGCTTTGTATTGGCCATGCGGATTCCTGCAAGACTGTCCCTGAGGTGGATTCCGCAGCTGCGGAGGACTTCCAGCATTTGATGCAGAATTTGCATTTGGACCAAGAATTTGACCGGCAACAGGTGATCCTGCCTGCACCGTCCTACACCATAAGATAGATGGATAGTCGGATAGTCCAGATCATTTTTGATCTTCTTAGTGACAAGTAGGGAAGTCCATGAGGGTCTTTTCCTTGGTGGGCAAACGGTGTGTGGGCTCACAGGAATTGGATGATCGTTGGTTGTCAGTTGTTTCTTTGTTCCTCATGATTTGAAATGATTTGAAGCTTGCTGGCTGGTGGGATGTATTTCATTTTTGCTGATAGCTTTTTGCTTTCCCTTCATGTCATGGTCTGGATTCTTCATTGATTCATTGGGTATTGAGAGTATGGGTCTAGAGTCTAGAGTCTAAACCAATGTGGAATCCGTTCCCAGGCATTTGCCAGATGCGCATCGGCTGTACAGCTATGGAGAGCGGCAGGTGCCGGACTGGGCCAGAGCGCTGGAGTGGGGGTATTGAAGACGGGTGAGGGCTGTGGTTGAACAGTGCTACATGGAAGATACAACTATACTATACTATATGACTATATGTATACTGTATACAATTGTATACATATTAATCATAGTATTTATCTAATTCATTACTTATATCACAAAGATACCCTGATGAAGAGCACGAACCATCGCTGCGAGACTGCCTTGAAGTCTGAGTTTAGATGGATTAGCTCTCCAGCACAGAGTTTGTTGTTGCCCTGCGATTTGATTCAACAGTCTTGGGTTTCGTTGCAGTTGCTGATTTGCTTAAATTAGCTGTTTCTTGAGATATCCTCCCTATCG